ACTCAGTTATGCTTGCCTATGTCCAACTGTTCATTTTTTTATGTATGTTCTTCAGTTTATCTGTTTGTTGAATGTTTGCAATCTGAAAGTATATATTCATGTTAAATATTTTTAAGAAGATTCCTTGCATTCACACTTGTTCTTATTTTTTTAATAATTTATTTTTCTAAAGCTTTTGTACAGTTAATAGTTCACACTGACTCAAGATCAAGATAAAGATGGAAAAGACAATTAGTATTATAAGAATCACTGCGGACAAGCCTTTTTAAGGCTTATGCAGTTTTGTATCATAAATCCATTGTATATGTGCTGTACTAAGTAATAAATAATAATAAATAGTTAAGTATTTTCATCTTCGCCATTTAAAATAAATATTCAAGAGATTATTCATCAGTTTATAACATAGATGCCTATTTGGATATTTTGTAAATGGTTATTAAAAATGCGAATAATTGGAAAAATGGGAAGTTTCATAATTTAAAATATCTTCAAAAAATTCAGCAGTGAAAAAATTTAAAACTGTTATAAAAAAGATGTCATTAATAAGGTAAACTAAAGTTAAAATTAAAAACCATTGTATTTCTAAAATACATCTAGAATGTGACTAATTGCGAGCCTATATACAATTCGACAAAAGTCTTATACCGCTTGAGGCGATCATCTGCCATCAATTACTGGCTCACCATTCAAACACGATTTATTGAGATTACTCTTTCGGCTCCAACTCTCGATTGGCAATTCGGATTTTAACTTTCTGCAATTGAGAATGTTTGTAATCAGTTCATAAAACAAACTGCAATAAAATTGTTTCAATCAGAAGATGATAACTCTTTGTTTTAAATTTACTAACAATGTTTTTTAGAGAATCTCCAATATAGATAATAAGATATTACCGTAAAATGGTAAGACCTTCTAGACCTGGGACCGATTTACTTTCTCGATTTTGTGTCCCCAAAGGCCAAAACACCTTCAGCTAACATTAATTCGATATTGATTGAATTTAAAGCAAACGTGTTGAATTTATTCGGACGAGTTCCCAAACCAGCATGTTTCCATTTCGAACTATGAGAACGAGGTGTTTTATGGGATTATTATTTTGTGCTCCTATTTTAATCCCCAAAATCATAAAATTTTATATTCCTTTCCAAACTATTTTATAGAGCTTAATAAACTAATAATATATCGAAGCGTTGTTGTATGCCTAATATTTACGGGAGAACAGAAAATAACTGACATTTCAAAATTCAAAAGTAGTTTTTAAGGAGAATGAACAATACGATGTGGTTTGCTTGTTTATTGATAAATTGAATTGAACTAATTTGTTAATTTCAAACTAAGCTATCTAAAATTAAATTAAAAACACACCTTATTGCTTTCACTGTAGCAGGAAGCTTAGGTACTCATTAAAATTTTTCAATTTGAAATTGTAATCAATCTGAAAATTTTAAGTGAAGATTTTAGTGGAAATCCAACCAGGTAAATCGAAACTCGCTTGGTCTACAGGTTTGCTGTGGCAACTATTTTCTATTTAAGTACTAACATTTCGTAAAGATAAATGGGTTATCAAAGTAACAAATTAGTTGCGTTTGTATTAATACTTGACAATATTTTGATGAATAAGAAACATTTCGTACTGAGTTGGCTTTCTGTTTCTACCAGTTAAAATATCATAGAAAAAATATTTTTTATTGAAAACCCACTTTTGAAATACTATCAATAAGACATTTAGACAACTATTAACTCTATTATGCCAGTATTAGATAACTTTAATTATTAATGTTTTCGCATTTTAAAATTTAAATCTTTTTTGGAGTAGTCTGTCGTTTGTGTTGCTTCATTCAATTAATTCATGTAGCAATCATTAAGTTAATGGAAACTATATTAAAAAAAAAAATTGAAGTTTCTCTCTGTTTAGTTTGCTTATTTGTATAATTTGTAAATTACATGTTATCCTTAGTTTACATATTCAGAAAGACTATGCAAGAAATGAGGTTTCTCATAGTATTTGTTGAACGCGGACAAAGTCACGACAGCGACCAAACCACTACCACGATTTTACGAACACACCTAGACCACATATCCCACAGCATTCCAGGCTTGCATTTCATAGCCTAATTTGTATATGCAGCTTTATTTTTCTCAGCCGTATTTTTCTTCTAAATAAAAGTTATACTATCAACTTGAATATTAACTATAACATCAATTTATAATTTTACAAAAATTATGCAAGCATTACTAAAAAAATATTAGTTATTTGTAAAATATAATACCTTCATTACTTCAACCTTATTAAAAACCATAATGCCTCTTTTTAAAGAATTCAGATAGATGGATAAACTTAGATTAAATTGTAGATGTAGATAGATAAAAAAAGAGATAAAAACTAGATATGCTTTTTTTGTGGACTGTTCTTCAACTGAACAAAAGTAAACAGGATATAACATAGTGAATATGAGAACAGCTGTTAGAAACAGTAAATTAGCAAAATAATTTTAAACAGCCTAGCAGATGTTAACAGAATTTTAGTCTACTGCTTGGCTGGATGGTTATAAAGAAGTGTCGGATATTTTATACGTTCGTATAGCTTTGTACATATAGGATTCCCATCAAGGATTTATATAAAGAAAATTCACGTGTAAATCAATTGGTGATATAAACCTTCAATTTTCACAGGAATTTCCTGGCCAAATTCATGTACCGTGCTTTAATAGCTTATGTTCTATTGGTAGCTATAAAAACTCTTGTTATGATCATTTAAGTTTTATTGCTATACATGGTAGGTAAGTAGTGGCAACTTGCGCTGATAAACTATAGATGCTAGTTCAAATCAGCCCCATGTACTACCACAACAGTGCCACTTGCTTGTCCACTCAACTTGTACTGTAACGATACTTAACTTTATTTCATTTTCCTCAAATACTGGGGTTCTATGGTGATGGGTAGCAGATGTTTTTACTTTTAGGAAACCAAAAAATATAATACTAAATACATATTAAATTGTAAGTACGGTAGCTCCTGACTCGTGGCAGTATTTCGTTTAACAGATAACAGTGTGGATAAGAACATAAATCAGACTATTATAAAACATCAAACATAATATTAAAAAAAAACAGGTTTCCTTAAGCTGGGTTAATTCAATTAAATTCTTTGTTAGCAAATGCTTAAGTTTTAAATGTAATCGCGCGAGGTTGAAAACGCTTAGACTTTAATGAGCTGGATGCTAAGTAAATAGGATCAATCGCTGAATGCCTGTTTGAACATGGTTGTGTGTATATTTGTGTAATCTGGCTTACAAGTCAACTGAAACAGAATTACGCCTAAATACTGTTCATATTGATTAATTTAAAGTAAGTACATAAACATATTTATAAGGATTTTACTGTGTGGTGGTACAGTTCTTCATTGATATTTTGTATTTTTTAGCGTTACATCGATTCCTATTGTTGATATCTGTAACACCTTAAAAATATAAAGGTTTTCTCGAATAACTTATTACAATATTCTGTAGGTCCCACATGTTATGTTTGTTATGGTTGATAAGTTATTGTGCAATGTTTTTCTTATCATATTCAGTATATCTTGATAATCATTGGAATTGGCATAGAGATTTGAGGAATTATTGTATTCTACTACTAAAAGCGTTGTAAGAAATACTAGTGAGAGGTTATACTGTTATTTATATGTTCCAATTTTTTGTACATAACATCTGGTATGTGATCATAGTCATATTTACTCTTCCAATAACCAGTAGCTATGTGTTTTGTAAAAATAGCTAACCTAGCTAAATAAGTAGCACAACAAACCTGAGGATGTGCCAATAAAAGGCATGAAACAGCTGTAGTATCCTAAATCTATCGTGGATCGGATACAGAAGCCAGGTAACATAAATATTATTAGTGCTAAATCAGTAGGCTCAGAATCCTTATTGAACTATGGTGGAATCAGATATTTTAAAGAGTAAATAAAAGCCACTAAAACAACATTCTATTGGAGAAGACCTACAATAAAAATGTGTTTTAACAATGTTTTTGTTATAATAAAAACAATTCAAAACACACTTTACAGCATTTAAGCTTGTTGAAATATGTTTTTAATTACAAAGTTGTGTCCCACAGTCACTGTCATAACATAGCTCGCTATCTGTTAGGATGGTTAAAATGTGATGTGTATTTAAGCTACACTCTGGGTGTAATGGGTTTACAGTTAATGGATTGAGACCTTGCATGGTGTAATGGCTAAATGATTATAGTGATTAGTACAATGAGTTGATTCACCATTGAGAGCTAAATACGTGCATACATACCTATGCTTCCCTAGACAGACCAATAACTAATCCTGTTTATTTTATTTTTGCATTTAACTCCAATTTTTAAAACAACTGTTTTAAGCGTCGTTGATATGTTTTGACTTGAATTTAAATATATAGTATACTGTGATAAAATGTTATTGTAAATTACGAATGCAGGAAATATATTTAATTATATTATTGTTACTGCATGATTATAATTAAATTAAAAAATCCAAGATTACAAGATGTCAAAACTGTTAACTGCTTCTTTGAACAATCGTTAAACGGGGTTTATTTTTAACAAACATAATGTAACCTACTTCCCACAAAGGCTGTTATGTATCCGCCTTGCTTCTATAAGGGCGTATTAGCTTTTAATTTGATCTGGTTGTAGCATGGTAAGGGAATATTCCATCAAAGCATTATACCTATTACTTATACCGCAACAAAGATGTTAACAAGCTCCACTAATAACCTCATTTACATCCGTTATTTATGAAATAATTGCTCATAGTCATATGTTTTGAATAAATTTAGGAACACAACAAAACATTTCGCCAATTAATTTGTAATAATATATTCTCAATTTATAAGATAAGTCCAAAACTAATTTATTCAAAAAATATTAGGTTGAAATAAAATTTAAGAATAAAGTTATGATAAATTGAGAAACATGAAACCGCCTTTAAAAAGATTTATTTTTCTTTTGCAGATTACAAATGCGAAACCGAGAGTGAAATTGAGCATCTTAATTTCTTCGATATCGTCTAAAACAGGTAAGAAAAGTGGTTTGAGATACAAATATAATTAAGAGAAAACCTTGTTTTGTTAACTAAGGAGATCATTACATCAAAAGAATAAAATGACCCTATGGTGGAGAACAAATAAATCGTAAAAGCATCGTCTAGATTGGTACTCGGTACATTTGAACTCTTAATACATCTACGATGAATACATAATAAATATCACATCGTTTTCAAATAGTCGGTTAAGTCATCATGCACTATCCCATACTGAAAATGACGGTTTTGAAATAGTTAACTAATTTGTTTCATTGTATACAACTATGAACAGGTAGTTTTGTGTGATTTTTAAGTTGCGTGTTAAAATCTTTCCATCGCAACTATACTTATACCTATTACATATTAAATTTCCTTCAATACTCGTATGGTAATCACTTAAAACTTTTATTATTTAGGGTCAGTAAAAGAAACAATGTTTGAAATGATTTAGCTTTAATAATTATTCATTTATAAACGACCCATCTACAATTTTATCCCAACAAAGTTTTTAGAAAACATGTTAATTCAGCAAAGAATAATATGAGTTAATTTATTATTTATAATACAAGTATATTATTTTTGTATGTCAAAGAAACTTAACGTTATTCATACTGTGAGCAGTATGAAACATGAAAGTGAGCGAGTATTTGTCTATGTTGAACTCTAGGTAACATTCGTCATAATGCAACATTATTTAGCAGACTAGGTTAGAAAACAAAAATACCTTAATGTAAAGATAATCTCGCAAAAACAACATCTAATTTGTTTGCTATTCATCAAATGTAAATAAGCAGATGTAATAATTAATTGATTTAATCATTTCGTCAATAAAAATTGTGTGGGTGTACATTACGCTATTGATATGTCAAACTACAGTTGAAATAATGCAACAATAAGCTGCAGCCAATTAATTCAATATATTCTCGATACATGCGATCGCTTACAACCGAAGTTAACAACTAATTGAGTTTACAACAGCTGATTTTTAATCCTTAGGATTAAAAGGCTTTTGACTCCCTAGGGACACAGAAAACGTACTCTAGGGAGGAGCACCTGGAACTCATGTACTTAAGACGGCTGTTTTTGCTGCAGTATAAAAAAAACATAACCACTATTTTATAATTTGTAGGTTTTTTTTTTTGTAAAATATACGGATGGTTTAGTGTTTTTTTTTCCTTTACTAATGCCACGCTGTTATAGTGTAAGAAGTGCAAGAAGTAAGAACATTACTTTTGTATTGACTCAGGTTTTAGTCCCACCAATTACGTAAAAATCTTACCCATGAAATAATGTCGTGATTTAGGCAACGCCAATCTTTAGTTATAATTTACCTAATTATGTGGTTATTTGTTGTAACATTGATTGTTAACACACACAGAAGAGTTTTAATTCTATTTTATACCCTCTTCTAAAAAAAATATTCTGTTAAGTTTGATTGTAAGTTTGTGGTTGAAACGTATACAGAACTATTTATTTACGTTAGTCATTCTTATAATTCAATAAACCTACTACTTAACATTCATGCTATGTAAGCCCTAGATCTATGACAAAACATAATCCATAAATTCAATGGAGAGGACGCAATCTTGTTATTGGGAGTGTACTATTAGAAGCAGGGAATATAGATGTCTGCCATTTCGGAAATGGGAAGAGTAAAATCTGTAGGAGGCAGCTGGCTAGCGAGATTACTGAAGCAGAGTGCACACCTCCAGGTCATTAGATGTAAAATATCGCTGTTAAAACTTTGTTTAAATATGTTAAGTACTATTTAGAATGTATAATAATGTTTTATTAGTTAGCTTTCAGATTTACTTAAAATTTTCCTTCCTTCATTTGTACTTTGTGAACTGATAACCGATTATAATTTTGACAGAGTTTGTTATCGTATTGGTTTGATGTAAAATTAATCTTACCTAATTCCGTAAGGTAGTATTCCTGCCCTAAGTGTTTCCTTTTATTTTTAACGTGCAATTTATAACGGAGGTTATAATTACTTATTTATTTTGTTTAAAGCGATGTAATAAATTTTGCTTTCTAAGCAAAGAGCGTTTACAACAACGAATCCAGTGAGTCCGTTCGAATCCTGTACCACAACTTTTTTCAGTAGGCTACAGTTCTTCTTTAAGTTGTACCGACTCACTCCTAACTTTACTGGATACGTTACACGCACAGATCCACCGTCCATGTAGATAGGCAAATACAAGGTTGAAAAAATAAAAACACACAAAAGACCACTAATCTCTTAAACAAACGAAAAATATTCTTTCGTTATACAACAAAAACAACACAATGTTCAGCACTGTTAGTATACACAAGAAATGTACACTTTCGGTGTCTACTGCTAATTTTGTTTTATTTATTATTTGTACATTTTTTAAATCACAAAAGCTGATATTTTCTTATATGAAATGGGTTACAGGTTTTGGATGATCAATTTCGTAAATAATAGAATGCTCACGTGAGCATGCAACAAGATAAAATAGCACTAATGTAACAATTTAAACATATAAAATATTATCAATCACTTTTAAATAAGGTAATTACTATGTTGACAAGGAGGTTAATCCTCTATGATTGGCAGTTTAGACTAAATACTGCAAGCTCTCTTATAGCAAAGTAAATCCGATTAGAAGCTAAACTCCACATGAAGTAATTATATTATTCAAACACCGTTAGACTCCAATAATAAACGTATTATACTAAGAGACAAAAGGGACGGATTAAGTTGTTACGAAGGCAACATTATTCAAACAAGCATTCAACGGTTAATCCTATTACTAGTCAAACTCAATGACTGTTTAAATCATTAGTGTTTCACTGCCATCTCTGATATTATATTTCTTGTTATTTTTTGGAAAAACACGCAAAATTATTTTTATTTAATACTTTTCTTGTGTTGTACGATTGTTTCATTTTCTTTGATCTTCCATTATACTGTAGTATTATTTAGCATTGAATTTTAAAAATCAGATCATTGACTGCAATTAGTTGTGAAAAAGTGGATTAATATTCATTACATTAGTTTGCTAAGTCATATAAAAACTATGGTTGAATCCACATGCCGAAAACTGATTTCTTTAACTCAGAAAAGTTTGAATAAGCTTATTTGCAAAAAACATTATAAACTGAAATAAAACTGGCATTTTTTGCATACATCTTGCTTTATTAAATAAATTATCCGTATTTATATTACATTTATAATAGAATAGTATTATTAATCGTTTATATGATTATTTGCTTATTATATTAATATTTGCTTAGTTTCTATTCGGGCCAAAGCTTAAAATGTAGTGGAGCTCTACATATTAAGTGAAAAATAGTCTCATACTTTTTATACAATGTTGTTTTAAAAAACCTTTTTTTTTTAACCTTAACACCTAAAAGATGCACAAAAAAAATAATAGTAAATGGTATTATTTCCAAAGTGTCACTCGTGTATTTCACTGCTTTACTGCTCTAAATTCTAGAATCTTATTTGTTCAGGCACATTTCCGTCTTTGTAGTTTTAGGATTTATTTTACCCAACACTTAGCCTTGTTAGTATCTTACAATGATATTATTTTTACATAGCAATGCATTAGACCAATGACAATGACGTCTGGGTCTGGAACTAACTTCTCGATGTAGAACAATAAACGGAATGGAATGATGTGGAACAATGTTCCCTTCAAATTACTTTTACCATTAGCCTTTAAGCTCAGTATTGGGTTTTTAAATTGTCACATTTAAAAAAACTGCCAAAAAATTTCAGATTGTATAACATATACCCATTAACCCCTAAACATTTTTTAGCACAGGACATTTGCACTATTATAGTCCTAATTGAAAAAATAAAATGTCAAGTAACAAAACAAAGTGGCTTTTATAAAGTTTTTAACTTGCCTCAATCTTCATTGATGTTTACCTATAATTATCCTCCACTCTGTTACAGTAAGCATACCTTGTAATATTCAAAACCTACAGTAAGCGTCCCTTACAAAATCTTATACAATAGGTGCACGATTTACTTTATTATATACCCGTGGTAATCTTTTACCTTGAATATAGTTAAACCTAAAAGCAAACCACCCCAAAGAGAAGATCCGCTTTGGAGTTCTTATTGTTATTAGTGCCGTTGTTGCCATCGTCTCCCTCAACGTGCCACTAAAACTCCCCCGTCTTCTCTCAACACTGCGTCGTCTCTAGGGAGCTGTAAATCCCTTTTCTGTATCTGGATTACTTTCCAAATTGCCACACGCTGCGGTTCTCACGCATGTAAAAGTTTATTCTCCCTTAACGCATTGTGATGATATTTTGTGTACGAGGATCAGCTGGTTACTAAACTTTGTGGGATTATATATTTACGATGGATTGTATTTTTTCTGTGAAGGATGATGTTTTAAAGGAACAGTAGGCAGTTTAATGATTAGATGAATGTAAATATAACACTTTATTACGATTTTGTTTACAGAGCAAATAAAAATACGTCTAATAACACTTGACACATTTACACTTAAACTGTTTTAAACTAGACGGTAAATGTATTTATCAGATGTTAATGCTGATCGGTTTTGATTGAACACTCCAATCATAATCCGACCAAATAGGCAAATGACAATAATTTGAATTGTAGGACACTTGTATCCTATTGGTTACCGGAATTACCTTCCAAGACATTTCTATAACTGTACAATCGAAGTCAACATGTACTTGTTCATTAATAAACTTATTTATATCTTTACATAAAAAAAGTTATTTCCAATCATTTATTTGATTTGATTCAACCTAAAAGACGTCTACATTCAACTTTTTAATGCGTAATGTCAAGTTTGCTATGTAGATAGAATATTCAGAAGACTACTGTTTTTGTTATTTTTTCTGCTTACTAAAAAATGTTTAATTAAGTTGGGTGAAATAACCACTAGACCAATAATGGGGAAAACATACAATTAAATGAAACTAAATACCTTAAAGGGACTCATAACAGAAAAATAACTTTGTTGTGCCTGATTAAT